TGGGGAAGAGTGGCTGGAAAGCTGTCTGGTGCAAAAAGACCTGGGGGTACTGGTTGACAGCCGGCTGAATATGGGCCAGCAGTGTGCCCAGGTGGCCAAGAAGGCCAATGGCATCCTGGCCTGTATCAGAAATAGTGTGGCCAGCAGGAGTAGGGAAGTGATCGTGCCCCTGTACTCGGTGCTGGTGAGGCCGCACCTCGAATACTGTGTTCAGTTTTGGGCCCCTCACTACAAGAAGGATGTTGCATTGCTGGAGCATGTCCAGAGGAGAGCAACCAAGCTGGTGAGGGGTCTGGAGCACAAGTCATACGAGGAACGGCTGAGGGAACTGGGGTTGTTTAGTCTGGAGAAGAGGAGGCTGAGGGGAGACCTGATCGCCCTCTACAGCTACCTGAAAGGAGGCTGTAGGGAGGTGGGGGTCGGCCTCTTCTCCCTGGTAACAGATGATAGGACGAGGGGGAATGGTTTGAAGCTGCGCCAGGGCAGGTTTAGGTTAGATATTAGGAAAAACTTCTTCACTGAAAGGGTTGTCAGGCTCTGGAATGGGCTGCCCAGGGAGGTGGTCAAGTCCTCATCACTGGAAGTATTTAAAAGAAGGATAGATGAGGTGCTTAGGGACATGGTGTAGTGGTGGGATGGCAGGGTTACGTTAAAGGTTGGACTCTATGATCTCAAAGGTCTTTTCCAACCAAAGTGATTCTATGATGATTCTGTGATTCACAGCTGAGGCCAGCCTTGGCTACATAGGATCTGTTGGGTTGTGTGTGTTAATGCTCCCTAAACAAATCGAATCACAGCAACCACCCCTCCTTTAAGTAAAGGTAGAAGTCCAAATAGAGCAGTCATCCCAGTGTGCCGCAGTTGGAACTGTGCATGAGCGGGTGTGCATACAGCGCGGGTGCCTCATGGTACTTGGACACAAAGTGTCAACCTCTGAAGTAAGAAGTGACAGAAATGCAAGGACTCTGGGAAATGGGTTTACTGACAAAATGCCCTGTGATGTTTCTAAGTTCTACTATAAAAGAGGAAGACCTCAAGGTAGAAATGCAGAAACTTGTAAAGAGCAAAGTAATCCCATAAAGAAGTTCACCTGTCGCACACTAGGTGATGACCTTCCCTGTTTTTATAGGGGACACTTACTCAGGAATTTAAACAAAAAAATAAAAATCTTATTCAAACATATTGGAAGTGGAATTTTTCACAGTCTCAAAGAGTTTTTTAAATACTTGCACTTCTATGTGTATATGATAACAGGAAAGATAGGACTATAGCAGTAAAATGAAGTATGTAGGGGTTTGTTTTGTTTTTTTAAAGCTGGTTTGTTTTCTGTTTATTTGTGCTTATTTGAAGGGACTGCAATACCAGAAGTCCTTGTTGTGGAGAGTATATGAAAGATTTTCCTTTATTTTCTTGTGTTAATAACTCTGAAGAGGAATGTGCGATAAAATAACAAAATGAACAACAAAGAATTGCAAAGTGCAGATAGTCAAAGTTCTAAAAATCTAGCAGCTGTGATTTATTAGCTGTCCTTGAAACTGCGCTGATACTGGAAGGTTGGAAGATGTGGAAACTCTTCACACTTACCAGATAGATTTCACTGGTATGGTTGGATGTACCCAAATTATCATTAGCACAATCACTTGATGTTCATCTTGTGCACACTAGTCTTTTAATAATAATAATGAAAAAGTTCTCACTAATTCTAAGGGAGTCATATTTCTCAATCTATTGCAAATTGTTTAAACAACTCAATAAGCATGTGAGAGGGACTGCAGCCTACTTTTACTTCCAAAAGATCTCTGATTATATGATAAAAGGAGGGTCTCAATACAGAGAAAAAGAAGGAGCATGCTTTCTGGAAGTAGGTGCTCCAGTTATCCCATCAACTCTTAGGAGGTATGAGATTCCAGTCTGCACATTTGTTCGTACAAGAAGATCTCATGTAGGGCAGGAAGTAGAAGTAATGTAGTTATTGCTGTACATCTCGCTCAGAATCCTACGTAATTTCAATTTTAGGGAATCATAGAATCATAGAATGTTTTGGGTTGGAAGGGACGCCTAGAGGTAATCTAGTCCAACCCCCCTGCAGGAGCAGGGACACCGCTAACTAGATCAGGCTGCTCAGAGCCCCGTCCAACCTGGTCTTGAAAGTTTCCAGGGATGGGGCCTCCACCACCTCTCTGGGCAACCTGTTCCAGTGTTTCACCACCCTCATTGTAAAGAACTTCTTCCTTATATCTAGTCTAAACCTACCCCGGTTTAGTTTAAAACCATTACCCCTTGTCTTGTCACTGCTGGCCCTACTAAAAAGATTTTCCCTGTCTTTCCTATAGGCCCCCTTTAGGTACTGAACGGCCGCAATCAGGTCTCCCCGCAGCCTTCTCTTCTCCAGGCTGAACAAGCCCAACTCTCCCAGCCTGGCCGATATAACTTGCCACTCTTGCCAGAATAGCATTCCCCTCTGTAGGGAGTGAAAGGATGCCTGAACACTTACTGTGACTGTCAGCAAAAAGTCCCAGGGTAACTTTTGTTGTTACCAGAATTTGTCCTGTAAATTTTGACATTCAAGGAGAAGGAACTTTTGACTTAAGAAGAAATCCTGACTACTGGGTCTTTTAATGAAACCTGGGAAATTAATTACTGTGTTTTACAAAATGGGGGGCGGGAGGAGGGGAGTGCTAAGCCTTGTTAGTTATAGCTCCTTGAGTATTATTTTAATATTTAAAAGGAGAGTTAAGTGTTTAACATTCTTGGAGGAGAAAATTTCTCATACCTTGTTTTTTAAACTAGTGTCTGCACCCTCTGCCACTTCGATCAACCAGAGGTTTTGCAAAATGTAATAAAAAATAAGTCCTGAAACTAGTCTGAACTGTTGCTGTTCTGACAATTCTATTGTATGACAACACAGTGACACAAGTACCATGGGGCCCTTGGACACTCTCTGGTGGGAATACTTCAAGTGATGTAAGTTATGACCCCACCGGAGGTTGCTCAAACCATACCATGGGAGCCCAGCTGAGCTTAACAGCTGCTTGTACTGCTAGTTTTGCAAGAGAATTTAAGAATTTAAGGCTGCTTTAAATCTTATTCTGTCAATAGTGATGAAGTTTGTTCGCTGTTCTAGTTTACAGCATTGCAACTGCTGGATTTGGATGGCGATTTGTCATTTGCAACCATTTCTTGACCGTAATAAGGTTAAAACTGCCCACTAAAATGTGTAAGTAAAGTAGCTTCTTAGGGAGTGGTATTATATCTTACATGAAATCAGTTGAAGTCATGTTTTAATTCAAGATGAAGTACCTCCTGCTTTCAGAACTCCATAGTGGAGAAAATGCTGAATTTAGGATGTGGTTCTACAGGAATTTATCTGAAATACTAATTGTAAATAAACAAAATAGCACTTTTAAAAGAAAGATAAAAAGAAAAGTGCAATTAGTAAAAGTCTAGCTTTATCCCATGTGGAGGTTAGCAATAACTTCTTCCTTTAGCTGTAAAGATAATTGAGTCTGTAACCCTGTGGCTCTCAGTGTTCCAAAAATGCAAGTAAGTCCTGATAGATGTGGTGGCAAGGGGAGCGGGTTCCTTCTTCCAGTACCCTTTGCCCTCTGTTACATTTGAAATAATAACTATGGATATGCAAAAGTTACTGCTTTCTCAAATATTGTGATGAAATCTCATCTTTATTCTGTCTTCATTTTTCCCACCCCTATTCCAAGGGGAATGTGAAAAAAAAAAATTAAGCAAATCCTGGATACATTGAGGGAATCTAGTCAATTCTATTGCAGAAACTGGAAAAGAGTAGACATGAAGTGAGGTACAGGGGAATGACACATTTTTTTTTTAAAAAAAAGAGTCCCAAATCTTTTTCTAGTACTCTCTGGTTAAGGAGAAATTTTCTGTCTCTTCTGATCATCCCCGTTTTACGTTAGAGCAGGTTCTGGAAAACAAATATAATGCCCTCTGAATCAGAAGATCAGTGTTCCACTTGAGTTTGATGGTCCCGTGGCTGCTTTATGCTGCCTTTCTTAAACTTTTTTTGTCATTAGAAGAAAAGGTAATTGAGCCTAATTGTCTTCATACAAGTAACTTCATAATTGAGCCTAGAACTGTCTTCACATAGGTAACTTCTAGATATGACCAAGACTGGTGTATTTTAATGCTTAGGTCTACGGAGGAGTTACTTTTCAAGGTATGCTAATCAGTCTTGAAGTTTATTGCCACACTGACAAGTAAGGGTCATTTCTTCACCTAGAGCTCTTAACTAAGATCCAAAAGATACCTTGGAGGGTGAAACTTCCTACCATTCCCTCTGCAGAGCATGAGAAATACTTCAGTAGTAAAATTTGCACTATGTATTGTAAAACAGATGTGTGGGAACCAGGTACTTTTCTCATCGGATCATCTCACTCATCGGATGAAAACTATTTGCTTGATATATTGCCATACTTGTATAATAGTCTTGATACTGCTTCTTGCACAGAAGGAGGCCAGGGCAGGGGGGTATCAGTTTTTATCTGCTTTGAGTGGCTTGAGTTGTGGTAAACTGAGCGGTATTTTTTGCTCACATTCTGTTTCTTACTGCTTAATAGTACATGGCTGCAGTCAGCTGTGGTTGAAGGTGGCTTAATTTTATTTTTGAAGAAATGAAGTTATGCTTTCTGAAGCTTTGTAGTTAACTTGGGTCTAAAATACTTTGTAGTCTTTGCTGGAAAGGGTACAAATCCCTGTTGATATATTTGGAAAACAGTTATATGTACAGCTGTCTCTATAGAAACTGTGAAGTAAAATGCTATAATTACTTTATATGGGCTGCTGCATTTCTCCTGGGGCAGTTACGTCTTTAGAGCTGATTGGATTCAGCCCTGGTGGTGAAAGGCTTCACACTATTAAACCTTTAAACTTTCTAGTTGCTTGAGAAGGGAAGAAATGGAAGTTCAGCATTTTCTCCGTGTGTGTGCGCGCATGCGTGCATGCGAGGGAGAATGAAAGCTGTGCAGTCTGTTCAGCCGGGGCAGTCGGGGAAGTGACGTCCTGCATTATTTGTCGTTCTAGAAAGAGCGGAGACACGTACTGTAGGTGGGAGGGCTCTAAAGAGAGCTGTGTCTTGTCCGGTGTGTATAATTATTTATAAATGAGCAGCGGGGAAGGAATGAAATACGGAGAAGCTGTCTAGTGTTTCTCTAACGTATCAGAGAGTTTGTTGATTTGTAACAGTTCTGCTTGTTTCAATTCCCAGTTTGATTTTTGTTTTTCCTTCTCTAGCATCTCTGCGTTGCTGAGACACTGGACACTGCTTTATTTATAGCAAGGAAAATCTGAATTCCTCCAGCACTCGGGATGGGGAAAGATTATTACTCTATCCTCGGAATTGAAAAAGGGGCTTCTGAAGAGGATATCAAAAAGTCTTACAGAAAACAAGCGCTTAAATGGCATCCGGATAAGAACAAATCTCCCCACGCAGAGGAAAAATTCAAAGAGGTTGCAGAAGCTTACGAAGTGCTGAGTGATCCCAAAAAGAGAGACATTTATGATCAGTTTGGGGAGGAAGGTATGTATTACTCTGTTATACTCTGATCGGTCACTTTCGTTATGTTGAGTTAAGCAAAATAAACATACAAGATGCATGAAAACATGGTTTGTGTTGATTTTTAGGCAATGTATTTGTACTGCTTGGAAGTTTGACTCAGCTTTTTTAATGTTAAGCGTATTGCAGGGTTAGTGCTGATTGAGTTTTAATTTCTTATTTTTATGTGTTTTTCTGTTGGTTTTTATTTTTTTTCTTTAAATTCCCAAATATTTGACAGGCAAAAAGTTACTGAGTTGAAAAAGTTTGTATGACCCATAAATAGCTCTCTGGGTTCTCTTACTGCTGCCTTCCCTTGCCATAGCACTTTTTGAGGTGCATTTGAAAAGAAATTTATTCTTCTCTTAAATTTTTGCTAAAGGGCAGTCTGCTTGATCTAGGCAGGGCAGTCCTGAGCAGATGCCCAGGTGTCCAGTCCGTAGTTGTCCTTGGCTTCTTGCCTGGAGAGGAAAGAATTTGGCTGATGTCATGAAATACCAGAACAATTTTTTAGCTTTAATTGTAAACAGTGATAACATGCCAAGAGAATGAGGCCTCAGAAATGTCATATTTATCCTAAAATGGTTATCTGGAGAGGATGACTTTTATTTTTGACCAACATGACTTTTAAGTCTTATGATTGAGCAACAGAGGAAGTCATTAACATCCCTCCCCTTAAATGTATGGTATCAGAAATTCCACATGAAGAATTACTTTGGTTGTGACAAGTAGGTCCACTCTCTCATTGCCATTCACCCGGGGCCATGTTTTTAGTAATATAAAGGAGGACACTTAAATAGCAGTACTATGGGGAAAATTGTGGGTTCTTATGAAAGCATAATAAAATTTGGTTCTCTGTCATCTGTAGGACTTAAAATAATTGTTAGCATCCTTAAATTCATGTAGAAGACGTTCAGCTTCTACAGAGGATGCAGGTTTTTTGGTCTTTTGTTCCGTGAGTGTATGTTAAAAGCTTTAGTGCTGTTACCGAAACATTCTAGCAAAAAAGTGTTTATGTGGATGCCCTTTGTTGCCTCTTGGGTCTTTCGCCTTCTTGCATTTCTTCCTTCTCACCTCCTGCCTCCTTTCTGTGTATCATTATAAACCTATTTACTCTGTGGATTCATTTGCATTTTAGATTCCTGTGCAGTAGCTCATCCTAACTACTTTCCCAAAATACCATTTTAGTCACTTTTACCAAAGAGCTTGAAGTAAAGCATATAAAGCAATGCAGCCTTTGGCATCCTAGTATTGCATACTTGGAAGACAGAAGTTCAAACATAGATTTGTATTTATTTGGGGCATAATATTAACTCAAAGTTTGAATTTTTAGAATGATGAACCTGGAAATACCTTATTATGCCTCAGTTGCTCTCTAAGCTCTTCAGTTGCATCTGAGAGTGTAATTAGTAATTTGTGAGGGAAAGGCAGGGGGTGCAGTGGGAGGAAGGAGGAAACATCAGTGTTTTTACAGCCAGGAACTTGATGTACCTTCAGTAACTTTTGGCTAGCTATTCCAGGAGGTGTCCTTCTACTGTCACAGATTGAATCCACTGATCTGCTTGCTTGACATGAACACTATGGTGACAGAAGGATGTACTACATGTGTTGCTACTGCTTGTAATACAGTCTGGTATTGAGATGGAGAAAGCACTCTCATTCTAACATTTTTACTTGGTTACTGTTGATAACCAGTATCAAGCTTATGCATAGAAGGTCTAAAACAGCCAAAAAAAGAAGAAAACCCCAAATCCCTCTTTCAAATTTAAGGAATGCATGCTTCATTAATGTAAACCTTCACATTTTTATGGCTATGGAAGTAGTATAGCAGCTGTAGTGCCGAGTTGCTGTAAGATTGAAAAAAATAAAATAACCAAACATCGTAAGTTTACAAATAGAAGTCTATTTGGAGAGAGGCATTTAAGAAAATTTATTTTAGCTGGGTTTGGAATGGGAGAGCAGGAAGTACAAGGGACTTTCTGCTGAGAATTGTAAGAGAAGTCTTATCAGGAAGAAATGAGATGTAGATCTCTCCTTGTGGAAGATAGAAGAGAAAGAACAAAGCTATTTGAGAAGATTCTGATTTTTTTGCACAGAGATGGTGACAGTATATACAACATTTTTTGTACCCAAATGGGTCTTGGGAACTTTCATGCTATTTTTATTGTGACTGCATTAAAAAGACTTCCCAGGTATCTTACCTATTTTTATATCATAGGAACACAAGCTGTGGTAAGTTTGGGATCCTAAATTAAACAGTAAGGGAAGCATATGGCTGCTTGACTATTGGCATGTTACCTTTTATTCAAACTGAATTGGAGGAAGACAGAGGTAAATCTAATTAACACTGGGTTAAAGCTGAGCTATGGAGGCTGTGGAAAACATTGCGTATGATACTGCGTGATTTTTCCCAGAAGTGGTCTTGAAGAGGGATGCAATTCCCAACAGACTTGCAGACAAGCAAAGATCAAGTCAAGCAGACCTGTCTTCTGTTTGAAGATGCTAATTCTTTGAATAACTGGCTTTAATAATATGAAATAAAATTGGCAGTGTCAGAATACCTGTTCTTCTGAAGTAGAAGTCACTGTAGAGCTTCAGAAACTTTGTTGCTGTTCAAGCTATTGAATTTCTAGTTGATACAGCATAGTCTGATGAGTCCTTATCGGAAATGAGACCTTTCACTCTACTGCAAAGGCCTTTGAACTCATCAGTTCTGATATCATTACACCCCACAATAGGAAAGCTTATACTAATACTCAGTTTGTTTATAACTTTGCTTATTTGTCTTATTTAGGTCTGAAAGGAGGAGCTGGAGGATCTGATGGACAGGGTGGTACCTTCCGGTACTCCTTCCACGGTGACCCACATGCTACATTTGCAGCTTTCTTTGGTGGCGCAAATCCTTTTGAGATCTTCTTTGGAAGGAGGATGCCTGGTGGCAGAGACACTGAAGACATGGAGGTGGATGGTGATCCATTTGGATCCTTCACTAGTTTTAGTATGAATGGTTTTCCAAGGGAAAGGAATACAGTTGGTAGCCAATTACGTCGTAAACAAGATCCCCCTGTAATCCATGAACTTAAAGTGTCATTGGAAGAGATCTATCACGGCTGCACAAAAAGGATGAGGATTTCACGTAAAAGGCTTAACCCAGATGGTAGAAGTGTCCGAACAGAGGACAAAATTCTTACTATTGAGATAAAGAGAGGATGGAAAGAAGGCACCAAAATTACTTTTCCGAAAGAAGGAGATGAAACACCCAACACAATTCCAGCTGATATTGTTTTTATCATTAAAGATAAACCTCACTCTTACTTCAAGAGAGATGGATCAAATATTATCTATCCTGTTAAGATCAGCTTAAGGGAGGTAAGTTTCGCTTTTGGTAGAACTCTGTTTAAACCTTTAAACATATGTTACAATACGATAGAATGGCTACACTGCACAAGCTGGACAGCAGCAGTAAAGTTTTGGGTTGGGTTTTTTTTTTTAACAGTTTCCCTCATGTAAAGTCAACATGTGACTGCAGAGCACAGTTATTTATAGTGGAAGCAATAGCTGTTTTCATAAAAATGAAGTATTATTTCAAGCTATTTACTATAGAGATGGAAGAGAATGAGGGTGGAAAGGTAAAGTGGAAGGTTGATATGTCTTAAATCTTCATACTCTACCTTTATAGCAAAATATATATATTAGGCTGAAGTAATGAACACAAATAAAATTAACAAATACATCCAATGTAGTATGCTCCTTACTGTTGTAATGTAGTTGCTACTTCTGTAGAACAAAGTATAAATGTCTTAAATATCTTCACTGCCCACAAATTCTGCCTTTTTATGTCATAAGTTATTTCAGTGTGATTTCAAAGCACATAGAGATTGATTTCATGAGGATAAATTATTGTGAACAGGTGTTATAGGAGCTATATATAACAACAACAATGGTATAGCTTTTTAAAATTCCATTACAAGTCAAAACACATTGGCTTTCAAAAGGAAAAATCGGAAAGACTACAGAGCAGAGTCCTTAAGGATTTTTGAAGCCTTGACATCGTCATCATTTAAAAGATAATGTAGCTGAGTGTGTGATGTTTTTTCTTCTTAATTAACATTAGATGGAGAAAGGAATTCTTGCTTGCATTATAAGCTCTTTGTGTACATTATGAGCTCCCTTCTTAAAAGATTCTTAACTAAAAATACATCTGAAGTGAGATGAAATACCTAAAATAGGATGAGGGAAGGAGAAAAGACAATATTTAATGTTGATGTGAGTAATATAGTTCCTTCATAGATAAAAGCTCATTGCATTGTTATGTAAATTGGACATTATCAGTATAGACTAAGTGTGCTGAATCAGGTGAAGTTGGAGGAATCAAAATGTTATTATCAGAGATCCTAGTAATGAAAACAAACTATTGGATAAAGCAGGAGAAGGTCTGTGATGTTTTAATTTTGGTGCACCAAAATAGTTTGCTTTCCTTTGAGCATCACAAATGCTCACCTAAGACAGCTGTGAAATTTGATATGCTTCTGCTTATAGACACTTAAGTGTTCTGCAATTTGATAGAATATAGGTTGATAGTGTATTAGGGTAAACCCCCTGTGCAGTGTAAACAAAAAATGGAAGAGGACTCTAAATTACCAGTGGAAACTGAGAAGCTGGACATCTCTAGAGAAGTATGAGTGAAGAGTTCACTGTGGGCTTAACTACCTTACTATTTGATAAATTCTTTGAAGGATATATAAGCTCAATTACCCTCCAGTGGCTATTGTGTAAGACTGGTAAATTCCTTGATACTCAATGACAAATCCAAGCCTTTCCTTTTTAAGAGACAAACACTGTATTTGAATTTTGACATCTCAGTATTGTACAGTGGAAATACTGTTTAGAATGCTAGTTTTTTTTTATATAATCCAAATTCAGTTGCAGGTTCTGACCAATTTCTTTTTCTCATGATACAATCTTTCTTTAGGCTTTGTGTGGCAGCTCTATGCACGTGCCAACGATAGAAGGAAGAGCCATACCTATGACAGTAAACGAAGTTGTAAAGCCTGGGATGAGAAGAAGAATTATAGGATATGGTTTGCCGTTTCCCAAAAATCCTGACCAACGTGGAGACTTAATTATAGAGTTTGAAGTAATTTTCCCAGATAACATTTCTCCAGCATCAAAAGAAGTACTTAGGCGAAATCTTCCAGTTTCATAAAACGAAGACTGTGTATCCCAACTGTTTAAATAGGACACTGGAAATGCAGAAGACTGGCAAGTCTATGCTTTAAAAGTGCAATCTGTAACAACTAGTGGAATATTTGTTTTTTTGGTTTTTTGGGATGGGTGGGTGGGGAATTCTGTAATGCTGCATGAGAAGAAAAGGGTTAAATACAAGTCATACAGGTGACTTCTGCAGTAAGATTTACAGGGAAAATCACTCATTTTATTTTACATCTTCCTAACCAGAAAAGTCTATTCATTATTTTGCCTCATGTAAAATGTAGTAGGTTTTTACCAAGTTAGCACATATTTCTGATACAGTACTTGAGCCTCCAGGTACTTTATTTCTTATATCCCTACCCTATCTATAACATTACCCATTTATACAGGAATCGGAGATAGTAGTAGAAATACACAAACATATAAATATTTTAAAGAGCAAAACATGAAAGATACCATTTTGGTATGTTGCCTTCCACTGCACAAAGCATAGGCTGGGAAAATCAGCTTGGACTCCTGAACAGCCCTCCAGTGAAATGAAAGCATTTTGTTTATTGCCCCAGAATGTGTGAGGACTGTACTGTGAGTCTAGTGAAGGGCACTGTGGCTTGAGGAGCAAGAGCAGCCATTTTCTGTGGGGTAGTTCCTCAGCCTTCAGGCAGAACAGCGGGAAGGGATTCTACAAGTACATAAACAGCAAATGGTGGGCCTGCTGTCAAATGGGGCAGGGAAGCTGGTGACAAATGACATGGCTGAGGTACTTAGTGCCTTCTTTGCATCAGTCTCTACCAGTAAAACAAGCCTTCAGGAATTCCAGGCCCCTGAGATCAGAGGGGAAGTCTGAATTCTCAGTGGTGGAGGACCAGATTAGGGTGCACTTAAACTGGAAGTCCATGAACCTGACCGGTTGCACCCCTAAGTGTTGAGGGAGCTGGCTAATGCTGCTGCAAGGACACTCTTAATTATCTTTGAAGATTGTGGGGACTGAGAGATGTTCGATTAGATTGTTAAAGAGCAAATATCACTCCTATCTTCAAGAAAAACAAGAAGGAAGGTTTGGGGAGATACAGGACAGTTGGCTTCGCCTCAGTCCTTGTGAAGGTAATGGAAAATCCTCCTGGAAGGCATTTCCAAACTCATGAAGGACAAGAAGGTGATCAGGAGTAGTCTGCATAGATTTACAAAGGGGAAATTGTGCTTGGCCAAGCTCATTGCCTTCTACAGTGAGGTGACTAGTTTTGTGGGTGACAGGAGACCAGGCCATGTTGTTTACTTTGACTTTAGTAGACAGACTGACAAAGTACAGGTTAGATAAGTGGAAAGTGAGGTAGATTAAAAACTGGCCAAATGAGTGGGCACAGGAGGGTGTAACCAGCGGCACAAAGTCCAGTTGAAGGCAAGTCAGTAGTGGTGTACCCTGTAGCCCAATACTGGAGCCAATACTATTCAACATCTTCATTAATGACTAGGATTATCAGATGGAGTGCATCCTCAGCAAATTTGCAAATCATATAAAACTGGGAGGAGTGGCTGGTAACACCAGATGATGTTCTGCCTTTCAAAGGGACTTCAGCAAGCTGGAGGACTGGGCAGAGGATTCTTACGAAGTTCAACAAGGGGGAATGCAAAGGCTTGCTCCCTGAGGAACAAGTTGAGGCACTAGTACACCTTGGGAGCTGACTGGCTGGAAAGCAACTTTTCGAGAAAGACCTTGGAGTACTGGTGGACAACAAACTGACCGTGAGCCAGTGATGCACCCTTGTGGCAACAAAGGCCAAAGGTTTGCTAGCAGGCTGAGAGGGGTGATCCTTCCTCTCTACTCTAAGCACTGATGAGGATGTGTCTGGAGTACTGTGCCCAGTTCTGCGCTCCCCAGTACAAGAAAGATGAAAAACTTACTGGAGCAGGTTTACAACAGGCCATGTGTGAGAAGAGGAAAGCTGGAGATCTTCAGCCTGGGAAAGAAAAGGCTTGGGGGGATCTTGCCACTGTGTGTAAATACCTGATGGGAGGGAATGAAGGTGGGGGAGCCAGGCTCTTCTCAGTGACAGGACTAAGAGGCAGAGGACACAAGGTAAAATGCAGGGAATTCCATCTGAATGTAAGGAAATACTTTTTTGCGGTGAGGGTGGTCAAACACAGGAACAGGTTGCCCAGAGAGGTTGAGGAGCTGCCATTTCTGGAGATACTCAAAACCTGGCTGGACATGGTCTTGGGCAGCCTGCTCTAGCTGACCATACCTGAGCAGGGGTGTTGGGACTGCATGATCCCAAGAGGTTCCTTCCAACCTAAATGATTCTGTGAACTTGGACTTCGCACTTTTCACCAGGCAGTGCTATGGGCCATGTTCTGCAAGTGAGGCTTAGCCCAAAGATGGGTGGTACTGATGTGACAGCTTGAATCCCTAGAGTAGGTCTATGCTTGAGTGGAAGGATGCACAAAGAACACTAAAAGCAATTGGCTAGTGCAGGTATTTAAAGATCGTGCTGATCTCAAGTATTCATTATTTTCGAAGGCTGAAATTTACTCCCATGAAGAAGGCAAGCCCAGGTCCTAGCTAAAGGAAAGTTTGCTTAAGACACAAAGTGGGATGGGGGTTGCCCATAAACTTTCACATGCTTGAATTGAGTCTATTTGAGTACAAATATGAATTACTTGTCGTTAGAGTTAAAAGGTGCATAGGGAAATGGAGAGCCCTCTGTAATAGTCTAGTTTTATAATACAGTAATAGGGCTGGTTCCCTTGATTGTGGCAAGATTTTGGTGAAAGAAATGCCTTGCAGGCGTGCTTTATCACTCGAGTTTAAAACCATAATACAGTGCTTTAACAACACTTTCAAAGCTTTTGGGTTTGGTTTTTTTTTTCTTCATAAGAAAATATGTAAGATCTGCTGTCAGCCTTTTGCCTGTGGAAATGTAGTAGTTACCTGCTCTGTTAGGTAGCTTAAGAAGTAGCAGTGTTACCTTCATATACGTGACTTCCTGCAGGAAAGTAAATCATATGGAAGTTGGGATTTAATTTACAATAACTTTTTAATGAGCACAAGAAGAATCCCATTTCTGTTACTCAAAGAATTTCTGGGAGATACTGTTGAGTCAGTTTTTCAGCTTCAGATCTCTTCATAAAGTGTCAGGTAGTTGTCCTAAATCTACAAGGAACTAAATAATTGCTGGAGCAGTATCACAAAGGGAGAAAAATTGCTGCTTAGTGCTTATGCATATTGTTAACACTATATATTGTTTGTTCAAAAAATTCCCATTTCAGTATGTTCCATATTGCATTTCTTATGTGGTTTTTAAGTAAAAAGTGTAAAGTTGGTTTTTAACTTTCTCTTATCTTTTGTTATGATGGCAGATGCTATAAGCTATGCGACTTTAAAAGCATATCATCCTAAAATACCTGTTTGTCAGTTTAAAAGCTAATGGAATTGAGCATTTTGTAATTCAGGATCTTGTAACCATAGTCCAACTTGTAAAAAAAAAAAAGTTACAGCAACTAGGAGTATTTTTTGTAATCATCTTCAAGTAAGAAGAGTAGTGTTAAATTGAGGAATTGCAGTATCTTGTGTATTTAGAGGTATATATATGTATAGCAAACTAAACTTTTCCAACTGTTTTCATGCTTAAAATACAGAACTATAGGACTGATATGAAATGCTTGTATTTCTTTTTTTTTATGGAGAGGTAACAAAGTATGTTTCAGAAAATAGTATGTGGAATTACTTCAAAATATGAAAGCATTAATATCTATCTAATCCAGGATTCACAAAAATTAATATTTTTCTAATCAAAAAATGTGCTTAAAAGCTGTTTTAAAACCCATTTGATTATTTAATAAAGGCCACTTGGGAGAAGGAGGCAAATACTCAGTCACCTACTGTATCTCTAACTACTAAAATAGATGGAAATAAAATGGACATTCATGAAGTTGGGACAAGAAGGATATTTTGATCTCCTGAAGGTTGCTTAGGTGTGCCATAGATAGTCAAAGTTATTTGGTTACTTTGCAGGAGTTCATTCAACAAGTGTATGAAAACCTGTACTTCTAAAGAACCTTTTTTAATCTCCACAACCTCAAGCTGTTGGAAGAGTAGAGCAAGCTACATTACAATCGTTTCTCTTTTCTGCCATGCAGTGGTACTCTGGGATTGCTCCAGAGCAGTCTTTCTGATGTCATGAGGATATCAGTATTCCACTCTTCCACTGAGCCTTTTTTTGTATTATCTATGCTTAAAACTTGTTGAAGCCTGTTTGTGGTGTGTTCAACAGATGTGGGTTTGGGTTAGTTTTGAGTCCCAACCTGTTTGCTTTGTTATGGAATTAACAGACTCTCTAGCTGTGCTTGGGTCTCCAATGTTGTTTTTACCACCTTCATCTTGTAGCTTTGTGTGTACTCACTTCCATTTGCCTTTCATAGGGTGGAAACTTTTTCTTCATTTGTACGTCCTCTTCTAGTATTCAACCCTATTTTCAATATGACCTCCAGTCTAAACCTCACAAACAGTGCTGAAGATGAGCAATATGTATTATGATGATCAGTCAAAGGAGATTATCAGTGTGCCAATTCTCAGATGTGATAGTTCTGCTATTTTTAGTAAATGCTCAAAACAGTATCCATGTCTGATTCTCAAAAATCCAAGCATAGGGAGGAGGCATCCATCAGATTGATACACAGTGCGGTAAATGAACCAAGCTGTTGGACCGGTTGTACCTTCAGTGGTAAAGAGCCAAAGCATGGGTGAAGAAAAGGTCTATAGCTGGCTTGGTTTTAAAGACCTTGACTGAGCTGTGCACAGGTATCAGATTCTTGACCTTGCATAGATTTGCTTAGAGACTGGAGGAGACCATTGTCTTGGCGGGATAATCTGCTATCAGTAGTGGATTATTTTTTTTGGAGGGCCTGTTCCAAAAGAAATCAGCAACCTGGAAAGGGAGTTGTATTTGACCAAGAATCAGTTCTGCTTCTTGGTAAGTGCCACTACCCCTATGCTTGCATAAAATCAAGTTTCCATATTAATGAGTCACATTTTTGTGTTAGTACGGGGTTTCTCTGAGACATACTGGGTGCAACTGGCTGGCATTTAGCTTTTGTGGAGAGAGGAAAATGATAGGGGTTTCCAAACCTTATTTTCCTTGGCCTTTAGTTAAGGCTGTGTGATCTTAGACATATTTACATCTTTTTTTACTCTTGGCCTATATAACCCTTGAGTCTTTCAAAATATTTCAGTGCTAGAAACCCCCCCAACTCTTTAAGCCCTTAAGATGCTTTTGCCAGTGACTTGGTCACACTAATGTGATGATGCAGTCTTAAAATGGGATTCTAGCAACTGTGTATCTGGGGTACTACTGAGCTAAAGGAGTGAAATCTGTAGCCTTTGTATGGGCTTTGCTCTGTTCATGGAGAACTGACTGATACTAAAAAGTGCTAGGCTGGTTAATTGTAATGAAAGCGTCCTGCCATGAGAGACTGTGCTATTCCACTCCTTTAGGCACTTGCACGCTTGATGACAAGATTATTCGGTAGTAATTCATTTGAGAGAATGATGTGCATGATGGAATGGTATCTGTAGTTATCAGATGGAAAGAGGGGAGGGCGCAATGGAAGGGAA